CACATGTAACAACGGGAATCGGTGTAATCCCAATAGCGGGATTTTCAGGTGTTTTGGGGGCGAAAACAGCGAAAACGGCGGAAAGTCCCGATAGCAGGATTTTCAGGTGTTTTGGGGGCGAAAACAGCAAAAAACGGTGGAAAGAACAGCAGCATGGAGATGTTTTGGGGGTGAAAACAGCGAAAAACGACGGAAAGAACAGCAACGTGGAGAGACGGACATGTGGCGAAAAGGAGAGGATCAGCACGACGCATGCGCCAAGGCCAAGGCCGCCGCACGCACATGCGCGCACGCTGCCCCACCCCGCCGCGCTCTCGGATTATATTTTACTAAGATCCGAGAGTGCAGCTGCTGCTTATGCGCGTGCGTAGCCAGTGTCTTAACACACTGGCCAAAGCCATAGTATGAGATAATATTGTGACTTGCTGCTATTAAAGAGGTGACACACCAGCTACTTACCCTCCCCTTCGTCGGCGAGCAGCGAGCAGTGTGCGCCAAACCTCTTCCCCCCCCCCCCCCCCCCCCTGACCCCCCACGGTGGGTGTTGCTGTCTGCACACGTGGCTGGCACATGCTGCCTCTTTGCAGTGCCACGTGGCAGCTTGCTGTGGATCTTGAAGACCCCCCTGGCTAGGGGGATGCACTACAGGAGCATTTGGGTGGCTGATCAAGATCTCAGCCCACCCCAACATTTTCTTTTTGCAGTGGCATCAGGCCAGCTGCACCTTCAAGGTCAAGATCCTATGGATCTTGGTAGTGCTCTACTCTTGGCAGCCCAAGAGCTCGGTATCACCATCCTACCACTAACCCTTTCTCCCTAACCTCTTTTCTCGCCCCCCTCCCCCACATCATCTAATCATCTTTCCACCCCCCCTACCACTACTCTCTACTCCTACCACCCTCTCCACTCATCTTCCACAACCTTTTTCTCTCCTCTCCTCCCCACTCATCATCTCCTACTAATCTCATCTATTCCTCTCCACCTTTTCCATATCCTTCTCTCTAATTCTACCACCCTCCTCTCTTTCTTCCCTCCCCCAACTATAACCCCATCGTCTCTCCCATCTTTTCTTCTCACCTATTTCTCTCTTTCTTCATCACTTTTTCATCCCCTCCCACCCAACTTCGAATTTTCTTTTTACTTATTTTCTCTTTCTCTTTGATTTAAATTTTCTCTTTTCCTCCAAAAAATTGAATTATCTTATTCCTTACTTCTTTTCTCACCTTCTGATTTATTTTTATTTTTATTTATTTTATTTGAAAATTTGGATTTTTTTTTTTTTTTTTGCAACACCTCTATATCTTGCTAGGACTTTAAGTTGGTCTTTTCTGTCATCGGCGCATATTTTGACCCCTTGGGGGTAACGAAGTGCTGCCGAAATTTTGTCGTTCCTCCCTAGTTCCTTCTTACCGCACATTTTGACCCCTTAGGGGTAGCGAAGCGCTGGCCAAATTTTCCGATTTTACTTAGTCTTTTTCTTGACGGCACACTTCGACCTCATGGGGTAAACGAAATGCTATCGAAATTTTTGAAAAACTTCAAAACTTAGTTTCTCTTCACTCTCCTCCACCCCCTTGTTTATTTATCTATTTATTTTTTTATTATTTATTTATTTTTTTGAAATTTTTGATTTGCGGCATTTTGAAAGTTAGTGTGCTCCAGTGCCGTACCCCCGTTCACCGTTCACGGGGTCTGTGGACAGAGACCGGTCATGGAGTTCATGGTGTTCACAACACGGGAGTTCATGGAAGTCACGAAGAGCGGTATTTTTTTTTTTTTTTTTTTTTGGBTGGGKRGGTTTTTTTTTTTTTTTTTAGGAGGGTGGGGGACATCGAAGGGTAACTCCCTATAATTTTTTCAATTCTTTTTTCACGAATATATTTTTTTTAATTATGAACAGAAAAAAAAAATCAACCAGCCAAAATAAACATTTTCGTTTGCTATTTTGTAGGTCATTTCGATTTGTTTTTTTTTTTTCAATGTCATCACGCTGTGGGGCTTGAGGCGAATGTACCAGGGGGAACCAAAAAAAAAAAAACCCAGCACTCTTTAGTGGTCGGCCCGTTCACCGTGAACGGCCGTTCATAAAAAAAACACCAAATGAACAGCCGATCATGTTCAAGTGACCGGTGCCGGTCACGTTCACGGGTCCGGCACTGGTGTGCTCCTCTTGCTCTTTCCTTTCTCTTGGCACATTTTTGACCCCATGTGGGGTGGGAAAATGCTACCGAAAATTCCAAAAAAATAATATTATCTCTCCTTACTTCTTATATTTTATTTATTTATTTCTATTTATTCTTTTATTTTATTTTATTTATTTTATTTTCTCTCCATATCCCCTCCATAGTTATTATTTTATTTTCTTGATTAGGTCGCCACTACCCTCCCCTAACCACCTAAACTCCGGTTAGGGTTTTCTTAGGGTTTTCTAGGGTTTAGGGTTCTCCTAACCCCCCCCCCCAACTCTCCCGCCTCCTTCCGTCGGGCACCCTGAACCCGAACGGCTCCTCTCCCCTCGACCAGATTCGCGCCACCACCTCACCCGCGACCCGCAGGTCACAAGGCGAACCGATGCACGATTACCCACTCCGCTCTCGCGGTCCCCTCCCTCTCACTAGTGGTCCCCTGTCCCCATACCACAACCCATATCTCCCCCCACCTCCCACCATGTCTACTTCTCTCCCTCCACCGCCCATTGAGAGCGCTACAACCGAGGAGATCGCCGCGGTGCAGTCCACAACTTCCAGGTCACCACGCAGTCAGCGGCTCATGATCAGGCTCATTCGGACACCATGGAACTTCATGTCGTCCTTGTAGCAATCCTGGCGCAACTTAGTATGCTTGGACCATTGCAAACTCAAATCAATGCGCTTGCCCTTGACGTCAACCGCCTCAAGGGCTCTCTCCATCGCTCTCCCCTCCACTCTCAGACCCCATCCCCTACCGGCTCACCGGCCGGTTCTCCACGACTCCGGCGACACGGACATGGTAGTTCTTCCTCCCCGTGGCTCAGGCCCAACACTCCCACTAAGTAGTGGTGAGTGCCGCTGCCGCTCAAACCACCCCGTCTGTTGCGGCACCTCCCTTGACACCTGCCGCCCCTACCGTCTCTACTGCTGCCGCAGGTGCTGCGGTCCAGATACCACCATCTGACCCAGCAGTTTCATCGACCCACACCGGTGCTGCTTCCCAACTTCCCGCACTGGTCGCGGCATTACGACTCCGGCCTCTTCTTCCCGCCTTCGTTCCCCTACCCCCACAGCAGGGTACCACGCAGGTTGGGACTCCTCTCCCCACTGGGAGACCCGCTCGGCCTCCTCCACCTCCGACCCCGCGCACCCAGTGAGTGGCCACTTTACAGGCCTCAATTGCGCGGGCTTAGACGAAGATCTTGGCCCTGAGACAGCCTCACCCTTCACAGACTGCTCACCCTTCTTCTTCCTCCACTTCCTCCTCTATCAACCCCTACTTTTCCATCATGTTGACCCTACATGGTGTCATCCTTTTGTCGAGCATTACCCGCCCTCATGGTCTATCTGTTAGGGTCCTTGGTTTTGTTTCGCTACCACTATCCCACCTTGAGCCTGATGACCTATCCCACCTTCATGTGTGACTGCCCTTAGGAGTTTCGATTCTTAGGCCGCATTCACCCGCTCTTAGACCATCCCACTCTTAGTGGTTCATCAACATGACATTATCTTATGATATATTGTTCTTTTTCCTTTCAGCACTAAGGCAATTGCCACCAGGACTTTAGGATTGTATATTGCTACACTTCATTTTCTGCTGTTAGCTAGGATGTGTATACTAGACATTTGCGTTTCATTTGACATTATGTAGCTTAGGCTGCATCGCATGGACTCCGCAGGGAGCGTGCTCCGCATCCTAGATTTCTCAGTTTTCTTTTTATTGTAGAGTTCTGTTGCTTTTGCGGATAGCGTGTTTATGGCTCTTGCGATCCATTACAGGTCCGAGGATCGTGAAGCGAGCCTCCATCTGCCCTGGCCTACAGCCAAGGCCTATTTGGCTATTTGCCAGTTCGGCCTCTGGGACCAGGCCATGGCCTGACCCCACAGGTCGTGTGCTGTTCCAGTCCTTCAGGGTACCACTGTCGGTACGAGGCCAATCCAGTCCAGTCAGTCAGTCCGCTGGGGGTATACCCCAGCTGTTGTTTGTTTTTCGCCATTCATCACTTTTGCACTTGTTGGAGTATGTGCGGTGTTGAGTCTACGTCGGAGCTGCGTTGTCCCTTCCAGCTCCATCTCCGCTTCCTCCTTCCTTTACCCCATCGTCTCCATCCTATCGGACCGCCATCCAGGCGGGTCTGGCACATTCGGTATCTACTCACGAAAATGGCGAGAATTTGTCCTCGCTCCACTACCTCATGAAACACACTCATGAAAATACTTTTCTTGAGTTGTCAGAACGTCCTCTTCCGTGACACCCTTGACGTTGATGTTTTGAGAGTGCCCACCTGCACTGGCGGGAATTTCAAGGGAGGCATCATGAACCTTGGAAAGTTGAGCATTTTTTTGGAGTGCACCTGGAGTCTGGGCTAACAACAACGTGCTGGCCTTGTCGTCTAACTCTCTCAAAGAGTGGTCTGACATCCGAGAGACCTTCTCGAGTTCGGTCTTCTAGAGTAAGTGGAGTCATGGGGCCTCGCTGCACTACTCTTGAATTTTGAAAAATCATGAGTTCATCACTGCTGCACTAACTCTTGATGCCGCGTTCTGGATTTTTATTCAAGAGCTGTCAGATTCACTTTAGAACAGGTCGAGAGCGAGTCATCGCTGCACTAATTGTGGAAAAGTGTCCTTGATCCGGCGCTTCAAGAGGTGTCAGAAATGGCCCATCGGACGAGCTCTTGAAATTTCCACAGTTCTCGCCTGCATGAGTTTTTTTTTCAAACGAGGCCGACGGGTCCCTTCATGAGGTTTGCAAATTCGAGAATTGGCCTCCGGTCTCGGTGGACAAATCGTCGCTGCCCTGTCGTGTAGTGTCTGTCCGACAGTCGAGAATGCTCACGGGAGCCGAGAGTCCGGAGTAAGTGCAGCCACGACAGCACTTGATGCCAATCCAGGAGTCTGACATCGCTAGACGAACTCTTGAAAACTTTCATGTGTCTAGCGTAGTGCAGCGAGGCCCAAACTCTTGAATTTGCAAACCGCACGAAGGGTCTAGTCGGCCTCGTTTGAAAAAAACGCCCCTGCAGGTGGGAACTGTGGAAGCTTCAAGAGCTCCTCCGAGGGGCCGTTTCTGACACCTCTTGACGGTCCGGACCAAAAAACGCCCCTTGCAAACAGTTAGTGCAGCGATGACTCAGGGTCTCGCTCCACTACTCTAGAAACCGGTCATTTCTTGAGGACGGCACCGCTACACTTACTCTATACGCCAGGTCTGGAATTCGGGTTCTTGAGCTGTCAGTCTTTACTCGCGAAAATGGCGAGAATTTGTCCTCTTTCCACCACCTCATGAAACACACTCGCAAAAACGCTTTTCTTGAGTTGTCAGAACCTCCTTTCCCGTGGCACTCTTCACGTTGACGTTTCGAGATTGCTCGCCTGCAGCGGCTGGAATTTCAATGGAGGCATCCAGGACCTTGGAAAGTTGAGCATTTTTTTGGAGTGCACCTAGAATCTCGGCGGACAACAACGTGCTGGCTTTTTTTTTTTTTTTAACCGGGCCTAGTGCCCAAGGCTGATATTACCAATAAGAAGATTGAGGTCGGGCTCCTCACAGTCTACCCGGAGTGACCGAACCGAACATTCCGAGAACCGGGCTCAGCGTCCCTCCTATGATGATGATCGGAACGCTGATGATGATGATGATGAACTTTTGCTGATTCTTTTTTTTTATGCTAATGATGATAATGAGTAGCATATGCTATATCAACAATTCTGGCCTCCTAAGTCTTCCCTATACTAGGACCTTGTAGGACCTTGTAACTCAGAGACAATACTATCCTAACCTACATCCCCCATAACTGATTTTTTCTCGCCACATCGCAGCCCCCCCCGGTACGCCACTGGATTGCCTTCCTCCCTCGGCAAACCCCAGATCTCTCTACAAGGCCTCATGCTCCTGCCATTTGCATGTTACAGGGCAGCGCCCCAGCTCCGGCCGGCGTCGTTCTGGCATCGGTAAACTAGGGGCACAGAACAGAGCAACTATGCAGATACCAGTCCAGGTTCGACCATCTCTGAATTTCTATCTCCCAGATGTAGAAGAAGCCTAGATGCTGCCAAGAAAACCAGAACACCAGAAATCTTAATATAACCTGATGATGATGATGATGATGATGCTGATTATGATGATGATGCTTATGATAATTAGTATGTGAAAAATATAGAAGATCATGCTATATCAACACTTCTGGCCTCCTAATCCTAGAACGCCTCCTAGCCCTCCTTGTACCAAGACATTACATCTTAGAGACAATGCCCTTATAACCAATGTCGACCATAATTGACCCGTTTTCACCACCTAGACTATCCATGGCCCCATAGGGTTATCAAGCCCCCCCCCCCCCCCGGGTTCGCCACTAGATTGCTTTCCTCCCTCACTAGATCCCCAGATCTCTCTACAAGGCCTCGCGCTCCCGCCAATGCAGGTTACAGGGCAATGCCCCAGCTCCGGCCAGCGTCGTTCTGGCATCGGCTAACCAGGGGCACAAAACAAGGCAACTCTGCCGATATCGGTCCAGATTCGATCATCTCTGACATCCTTTGTCTCGAAATGAGGGAGAATGCCAGATGCCGTCAAGAATTTCAGAACACCAGTATAATATAACATGAATGATAATGATGTTACCCTAAGGTTAGTCTCTCCCCACCCCTCCTTTCCACCCTGTCCCATCGCTGCCTCCGCCGCAATGGATTACCCAGACTACAAACAACCCATTACAGCCCCAACTTGTGACAGTCCCACCTTTCCCCCCTTATCCCAAAAAGGCATATAGTTCCCCCCCAAAGTATGCCTCTGCCCACCATTTACCCTGATCTGCCCCCGCTGGCGTGAGTAACCCCCCCGAGAGATGGTTAACAACAGACACTATTTACAGGTCACTTTCAGCCACTTCAGGTTCCCACCTGAAACTCCTGAAACGACCTGAAGTGGCTGAAGCTTCTGAAATGGGTTTCAGGTACCCCTATCCAAATGGTTGGATGGGAGTACCTGAAACCCCTTTCAGAAGCTTCAGCCACTTCAGCGGTTTCGAGTCCCCACCTGAAATTCCTGAAATGACCTGAAGTGGCTGAAAAACAAGGCTGGAAAAAAAAAAAAAAACATAAAACGTGTCCTCCAAACCACCCGAAACTTCTGAAATGACCTGAAGTGTCTTCAGGCCATTTCAGCGGTTTCAGACCACTTCAGAATCTTTCATTCTGAAATTTCAAGTGGTCGTTAACCGCGAGTGACCCCCCCACCAACCCTAGACTAAGGTAATCCACTGACTCTGCTCACACCCTCTACAGGGCTTTACCTTCCACCTTGTGTTACCCCTGCAGAGTGGAGCTCTCCCCTTGTCCCTCACCTTCCATCCATTAGAGATAAACGTAAATACTTCAGAGAGGAGAGTATAGATACCAGGAATTTATCAGAGTCAGCTTATAGGAATAAAAACAGCGAAAATTAGACTTGGAAAGTGATATGGATCAGAAATTGGAAATTTTAACAAAAAATATTTGTATCTAAAATTCCAGAGATAGGGAAAATAATTCGGAATTAAATCCCCCTCAATTTTTTGCAGGGAATTTTAGGTATATAAAATACCTTATATGATAATTAGACAAGAAATTTCAGGCTTTAAGGATAAGAAAGATCAAGAATGTATTGAGACTTTAGTTTGGATATTAGTTAGAGAAAGTAGTTAGGGTCGTAATGGGATCGTAGCTTGTATATTAATTAGAGAAAGTAGTTAGGATCATTAATGGATCGTAGTGAAATGATGCTATTAGAGGTCGGACTGGATAATTAGATAATATGAAAACAACCTTACCTCAATACTGATGATGATGATGATGACGATGCTGCTGATGATGATGCTGATGCTGATGATGATGAGAATGATGATGATGATAACAACGATGACAACGCCGATGATGATGATGATGATGATGATGATGATGATGATGATGATGATGATGATGATGATGACGGCGCTGATAATGCCGCAAATGAAGATGATGATGATGATGAAGGTGATGACGACAACTGGTGATTGCCCTTGATAATGCTGCTGAATCCTTTGTTGTCCTTGTGTTAACACGCTCATCTCCTCCTCATATTATCTCCTGCTTGCATGTCGGTCCAGCTGGCCGCGAGAGAGCAAGGAACTCTCGTCGCCCGCTGGTTCCCGCGTTCTTCGCAAGACCCCCTTCAACACCATAAACCCATTATGGCTGCTTCAAGGTGACCCACAAACTACGTGGAGATGGCGTCCAGCCCTTCTCTATCCCACGTCACTCCTCGCCACGTCGGAATAGTCAGTTCTTGAGGCTACTCACAAGTCCACCCGGCAGCAAACAGCGCCTTCCTCGCGTGTCTAGCACGAGCGCCTACCCCGGTGCGTCCCTGCGGGCTCTCCAGGCCTTCTCTATTCCACGTCACTGTCGCCACGTCGGATGAGGATAGCTCCTGAGGCTACTCACAAGTCCACCCGGCAGCAACCAGCGCCTTCCTCGTGTGTCTCAGCGCGAGCGCATACTGCCCTGGTGGATCCCTGTGGGCGCTTGGCAAGCGCGTCTTCGTCGTCCGTGAATCCCAACCCAGGGGCGCAGCGCCTCATCGTTCGGACTTGATCAGCTACTTCTGCTGTTGTCGTGTAGCTCTCTCAAAGGGCGGTCTGACATCCGAGAGGCCTTCTTGAGTTCTGCCTTCTAGAGTAAGTGGAACCGTGTTCTCTGTTTCAGTCGTTTCTAGAGTCTGACAACTCTAGACTCACTCTCAAAAATCTTCGAGAATCCAGAGTAGTGGAGCGAGACCCTCACTCTCGACGTTTTTGAGAGTGAATCTGACAGCTCTTGAATGGAATTTCAGGACGCGGCATCAAGAGTTAGTGCAGCGGTGATGAAGGGCCTCGCTGCACTATTGTAGACTCTCGAATTTTCGAGAGTGGCTCGTCGCTGCACTTAGGGCCTCGCTGCACTACTCTAGACTCTCAAAATATTTTGAGAGTTCGGCTAGCAATGTCAGAGAGGCGAGACTCTGCCTTCCCTGCACTTACTCTATAACGTATTACAGTAGGTGAACTCTTGAAACCCTTGGCGTCATCCTACTCTACAGAAGAGCTGCACCACTGCGCCACGGGACAAAGTCTGGCCGCCGGAACAGGAGGTCCACTCTCGAAAAAAGAGCCTGTTGGCGGGCAACTCCCGAGGACACCTGCAAATTCAGTTTTTGCAGGCGGGGGACTCTCGACATTTCGAGAGTTTCATTATAGTGTGGCTTTTGACAGCTCTCGATCGGGTTTCGGGAGTTTCCCGATCGAGAGTAAGGGCCTCGCTGCACTACTCTAGACTCTCGAATTTTCAAGAGTGGGTCATCGCTGCACTTACTCTTGATCGGGAAACTCTCGAACCCCGATCGAGAGCTGTCAGAAGCCACACTATAACACAACTCTCGAAACGTCGGGAGTCCCCCGCCTGCAAAAATAGAATTTGCAAGTGTCCTCGGGAGTTGCCTGCCGACAGGCTCGTTTTTCGAGAGTGGACCTCCTGTCCCGGCGGCCAGACTTCGTCCCATAGCGCAGTGGTGCAGCTCTTCTGTAGAGTAGGAAGACGCCCAGGGTTTCGAGAGTTCAACTAGTGTAATAGGTTATAGAGTAAGTGCAGCGAAGGCGGGTATTTCGAGAGTCTCGCCTCTCTGACAATGCTAGCCCAACTGTCGAAATATTTCGAGAGTCTAGAGTAGTGCAGCGAGGCCCTTAGGGCATACTCACACTAGGGGTCTAATTCTTAAAATCGCAAAATCTGATGTCGTTGCGCAGTCACACTTTCCTCCCACCCCCAGCAAAATCACAAATGATGTAGTATTTGTCAGCAGCCTGCTGGGCCGCGGGGTTCAGCAAATTGCGAGGACCTCTAGAGGTCCTCGCAAATTCGCATTTGATTTTCTTATTTTTTTCTTAAAAAATGAAAACCACAAAACGCAACTTCTTGCCCACTACAGTCCAAAAATGTTACGTTCTGTCTCCAGCCGGGAAGTCATACAGCGGCTGTACGATCTTTGCCGATATACACAGCAGATTGCCCGTGTGTAACAGGTTTGTCCCTAGTGGCGGAGTCCCCTCCGCCCCCAGGTGAGTTCCATACCCACTTGCGCTGCCCTCCTGCACATTTCTCCCCCCTTCCCCCGTGCGAATAGTCTGGCCCTCCGGAAGAATAGTCAGGCCCTCCGCAAGAATAGAGGCCCGTTCCGCTGCCCTCGGCACGGTTTCCGGGCCTCCTCCCTACTTACTGGTTTCGGTGCTCCCACCACACTCCCGCCGCACCAGTCTTGCTAGTGGTCCACTTTCATAGGTGCATTGCACCTGGTCTGTTCGCCATAGGTGACACAGGTTGGAGAAGCAGGAAGATAGACATCCCGCTGGTAAGATAACGCGCTCCAGGAACCGGCTCTATTGGCCTTACCGTGCAGGCCGAAACGTTAGAAGGGAAAAAAAAAAAAAAAAAAAAAAAAAAAAACACATAAAAAGTTATTAAGGACCCAATAAAAAATATTCCACCATCTGCTATCAGCTGTGTGACCACGCTGATACCAAATGGAGCATTGTTCAGAAAGTCGGGGCCATGTCTCATTCACATTTTGCTGTTTTGCTACCGGTGTGTGAGTATGCGGCACACATAAATCTCAAATTCGAAATTGCAAAATTGCAAATTTTCCAACTTTGCTCACTGTGTGTGAGTATGCCCTTACTCTAGCCCTACTGGGTCTCTCTCCACTACTCTAGAACCAGCCATTTCTTGATCTCGGCACCGCTCCACTAACTCTAGAAGCCAGGTCTCCAATTCGGGTTCTTGAGCTGTCAGTATCTACTCACGAAAATGGCAAGAATCCGTCGTCGCTCCACTACCTCATGAAACACACTCACGTGAGTTGTCAGAATGTCCTCTCCCGTGGCACTCTTGACGTTTCGAGAGCCCGCCTGCAGTGGCGGGAATTTCAAGGGAGGCAGCGAGGACCTTCGAAAGTTGAGCATTTTTATGGAGTGCACCTGGAGTCTGGGCGGACAATAACCTGCTGGCCGTGTCATGGAGCTCTCTCAAAGAGCGGTCTGACATCCGAGAGGCCTTCTCGAGTTCTACCTTCTAGAGTAAGTGAAGGGGTGTTCTATTTTTCAGTCTTGTCTAGAGTCTGACAGCTCTAGACTCACTCTCGAAAATCTTCGAGAGTCTAGAGTAGTGGAGCGAGACTTACTCTCCCAATATTTCTCGAGTCTAGAGTAGTGCAGGGAGGCCCTAAGTGCAGCCATGACCCACTCTCGAAGAGTAGTGCAGCGAGGACCTTACTCTCGATCGGGAAACTCTCAAAACCCGATCGAGAGCTGTCAGAAGGCACGCTATATTGCCACTCTTTTTCTTTCTTTTTTTTTTTCTTTTTTTTTTTTTTTCTTTTTTTTTTTTTGAAAGAAACTCCCTGCAGTGCTAGAGGTGCTGGTAAGAGCAGACACCGCTAGCACCTGGGGGGAGGCTCCATCTATTGGTGGGGAGCTTCACCTGCTGGAAATCGGATCCACCGTCCCATGGTTATCTCAAATGAAAATCGAACAGAACGTATGAAATAGCCTGAGGCCCGCCAGCATTGATTGCCCTGGAGTCCAGGGGATTGACTGAGTGGGATACCATGGTTAGGAGGGACATAATCTCTTCACCCAAACGGGCGCCAGATAACAGCTGATGAATGCTAATTCAACCCTCCGGCATTCTAGTTGTGGAACGCTTTTACATATGGAAGTTCCGTTCCACCAGGCACAATGCAGAAGGTGGGAACAGATCAGAAAAGTCAGAGAGTGGCCGGAGAGGGGTTGCTGGGTCTACTGTTGTCCATTCGTGGAAGCAGAGCTCGAACTGTTTATGGGCTGCAGTCTTCTGATCCTTTCCTTGCCCTTCTCTCTCCTTCACCCTTCCCAAAATCCCCCCCATTGATACCCCCGAGCCAGTTGCCACTGAAACATTGTATTGTACGTTGAATTTCCTTTGGATCCTGAAGGTTGGAGATTCGGGTTTTTACCTGTTCCCACTGGGTGGTAATCACAGTTGAACCTGTTGTTTGATAGAAGGGGTAACTTCGGCGCAGTCACGAAAACAGTTTGTAATTGCATTCGAAACTGCTTTTTAGCAGTTTAGTCAGGGTCCGAGTTTCAATTGCAGTTTAGTCAGGGTCCGAGTTTCAATTGCAGTTGAAACTCGGCCGTATGCAGTTCAGTCAGGGCCCTCGTCTATCCACGAACAGCAGATAAACAGAAAAAAGAAAAAACATCCCTTATGCTGTGATTGCGGTCCGATACAGGATGCTACAGTACTTGTCTGGAACTCAATGAAGCGTGGAATCCGCCCTCCCTGGCTGGCAGGGCGCTACAGGGACCTCACAACAAGAAACAAAAAACGAAAACTACCTGTTTCATGATCCTCACTTTCTGGCCAGATGCATTCCTCAAAGCACTGGTGACCTAAGGGCCTTCCCGACGTAGGTGGATTCGAAGTTCCTCTTTTGTTTACTTTTTTTATTTCTTCTTTTTTTTTTTTTTTTTTTTGGGCCTCCATCCCTGCCCCGAGCCCCCCACTTCTTCGGAGTAGTCTACTCTTGAGACTTCGCGTTTGCCTATGAGGGGTGGTGCCTGCCAATCTCGGTTGTGGCCGAGACATCTCGGCCCTGGCCAAGACATCTCGGCCGTGCCCACTCTAGGGTGTGGCCGAGACATCTCGGTCGTGGCCAGTCTGGGGTGTGGCCGAGACATCTTGGTCGTGGCCAGTCTGGGGTGTGGCCGAGACATCTCGGGCGTGGCCCAACCATGGGGCTGTTTTTCTTTTTTTTTCCCAACAGCAGAACGGCGCGGCGCGGCGCGGCATGGCAGGCGACAGAAAGAAAAAAAACAAAAA